CTTCGCGCCGCCGTTTTCCTCGATGCGCGGACGTTCCTCACCGCCATGGAGGGTGCTCGCGCCATGGAGGAGTCCGCCGCCATGAAGGTCGCTCGCGCCATGGAGTTGGTGCTGGACGTGGAGATGACGATGGACGCCGAGATGGCGCTGGACTCGGAGATGACGATGCAGTCCGTTGAGATCGCGCCGAACTCCGTCGAGTTCGTGCCGCACTCCGTCGAGGTCGTCGCGGACTGCGTCGAAGAGGTCCCGGACTCCGTCGTGGAGATCCCAAACTCCGTCGAAGAGGTCCCGGACTCCATCGTGGAGATCCCGGACTCCGTCGAAGAGGTCCCGGACTCCGTCATGGAGGTCCCGGACTCCATCGATGACGCGCCCGACGACGAGGTGGTGCACTGTCCTCGCTGCAGCATGTTCCATGCCGGCGACGTCTTCGGAGAAGCCTGCTATCAAGCCAGACGCGAAGCTCGCAGGTGTGCACGCTGTGGCCTTATTCACAGCGACTACTACCTGAGCACGTTCAAATGAAGTTGGACGGTATAGATCCATTTGATTGTGAGATCTTTATCCCTGATGTGGACAAGCTTGAGATGAACGGTAACACGATACTACTCCCTGAGCATGTTCAAATGAAGTTGGACGGTAACATCTACAATACGAAAAAGTTGGAAGATGCAAACAAAGAACAGTAAGGTACATGTCTTCTTGCAAACAGTAATGTTCTACCATCTTCGAACATGCTTCCTGCTGCAGGAAGGCTAATTTGCTTCGGCTAACATGTTCTACCATCTCCTAATTTGTTGCAGGAAGGCTAGCTAGTGCTTCGGCTAGCAAGGAAGCTTCACAAGGAACTTGCAGTGGCAGCCTTCCTTCCCTCTCTAGTACTTGTTTCCGAATGTGAGGAATCTTGATTTTGTTGCAACCTTTTTTCTTCATTGCTTCCTTCAAAACAGTTTGTAGTGTCACAAAGATCCGATTTGCTTTCCGTGGAGAGTACTCAAAAAATGCCTACAAAACATGAGTTCAACAAATGAATCAATGAGTACTCCATTTAGTTGTTAAAGTTCAATTTAATCAATGCAATGGATGATCGTTTACCTCTTCGACTGCTGGAATTAGATCTTGCATTGTTTTTTGCATCTTTCTTGTATTGAATTGCTTGAATGGCTCGAAAAAAACCCCAAATCTAAAATGTTAAAATCTGGAGAATTGGGTGGTTGACATATAAGCTGAATGTCAAACCCATCTTGCTTAGCAACTTCACAAAATTGAGGATCATCCACTTTCAAATGAGAAGGAGCATTGTCTTGTTGTATGAAAATAGGCTTGTTCACATCTTCCCTTGGTCACTTGGCTCTAATTGCAGGCAACACTTTATTTATCATGAAATCTCTTATCACCTCCCTTGTGATTGATTGAATTGGCTTGATTACTTGCGCTCCACGAAGCCGATTGTGACTTCCTCTAATAGCTTGTTCAAAGTTGACTAGTGGAAAGCAACCTATCTTGCCATCAAACACACATTCTCCATTTCTAAATCTTGGCCGAGCATATACACACAAGAACATGATCCTAGGGATGTAGTTCTTGTTCTTGCAAGTGCTATGTGGTTCATCTTCCTCGGGTAGCAAGTAGTACCTCTCGGATGTTTGATGGAGATAGAACCACTTCTCATCAATGAACACAAAGTCAAACAAATCTTTAAACTTTGGATCATCAACCAAACCTTGCTCAATCATGTCAATGCACCACTTCAACCTAGTCTTCTTGTTAGCATCAGTGAGGTAAGGTTTTATGCTACTAGAGTGGCGCCTAAGCAAACCCTTTTTCAAATACCTTTGTATCCTACATTTGCTAATACCAAGTCTACTAGACACATCTTCTATGGTCATTCTTTGCTTGATTGGAATATCCCCCAACCGTTCCAAATCAAAAGGGATTGCTTTACGACCACTTCTACCTTTCTTTAGATTAGGAACCATGACCGGGATGTTTTGGCGAAGTTGGTCTTTACCTTGCTTCCATATGCGCTGAACTGTTCGAATCTTCATTCCAAATTGTTCACCAACAATTGTTGTATCATGCTTGCCTAGTTTCCCATTGTTGCTTCTCATCAACAATGCTTGATACACTTGTTGTCTAAGATGATTAGGATAGTCATGCTTCGGTTGGTTTACTTGATCGGCATCTTGTTCTAGCCAAAGGAAAAACACAAGCAATTAGCCACGGCATGTTGTACTACTTATAGGAAGAAAGCAAGAATACTAATAATAACTCTTGTTCTAGCAAAAAGGAAAAAACAACCATTTTAATACTCACGGCATGTTTTATTTATAGGAAAAAAAACAAAGACATTCATACAATAGATGCTCACGGCATGCTCACGGTATTCGTACATGCAGAAGAGAAAAACATGGTGTAATACATGCACAAGAGAAGAACAGGAGGTAGTACCGATGCCATGCTCGGCGTCTGCAGGCTCATTCAGATCAAAACCGGCGTCGCCGGCGTCATTTTCAGCAAGGTTTTGTAGGTAATCGAAATCCACAGCACCAAAATCATCTAATGGCAAGTTTAAATCGAACCCTGTCCAAAAAAGAAGAAAGAAAATGAGAAACGTTACCACACGTTCTTGCTTTGAATATTAAACAAAAAAACCAAACAAACTGAGTAGTACATTACCATTTGTGGTGTCGTCCTCCAATATTGGGTCGTTGAGATCGACGTCGCCGTCTTCTTCCAAACGAACGTTCAAATAAAATGGATTAGCCATTGCAGTAGAGAAGGAGTGGACAAGGAAAGAGTGGACCACGGCAAAGAGTGGAAAAGATGAATAGGTTCAGATGGAAAGGTGAGCACCAATTAAATAGGAAAGGAGATGGACCATCGGCCAGACCACACGACGCGCGCTCTTAGCGAAAAAAAATGATTCAAAAACGCGCCATGCAACGCAACTTCGAGCTGCGAAATGCGACGCTACAATGCGCCATGCCGGCGCAACGCCGGCGCATGCTACGCTGCGGCGCGACGGGTAAATCGGGGCACGCGCATGCAAGCGGCGATGCAGGGGCGCACGGCGCGCATGCAAACGCGGCACGCGCGAGCGAAAGCGCATGCAAACGACCCGGCCTCCGCACAGTGCCATGCAAGCCATGCAAAATGGCCACGAACAAAAAAAAGGCACCTGCGGTGGGATTCAAAACGTGGACCACAACTTCAGCCCGCCAAGGGCTAGCCACTCGAGATAAGCAAGATTCTTGTATAGAACACACCCATCTTGCTATTTAATAGTGACAAGGGTGGAAAGATAACCCATAATTAATCACTCCTTGATACAACAATCATGTCCTAAACGTCAGGTTTTTTAGTATGGAGGGAGTATGTTATTGGATGGATACAGAGTTGTACTCCGACACTAGGAGCTACTGCTGGATTTCTCAAAATAACACTGATGCACACTACTATTTGCTTACTACTACTGTTGCTTGATCGCAGGAAGTGCCACAGCAGGGCAGTGTGTGCAGTGGTGCCGTGGTGGCTGGCCGGCCTGCACTGCAACGGCAATGCATTTGTTTCGGGTTGCTGGTACGCATATCAGCATGCTACCACTGCCCAAGTCCACGAGTTTCAGTTCATCAGCGTCACAGCAGGGACAGAAGTCCAATTGCATGCCCGGGATCGGAGAGGGACGCGCTGATAGAAGTCCACGAGTTTCAGTTCATCAGAGTCACAGGGACAGTACTCCTATATGAACCACAAAAGCATGCAGGCAGGCGGCATGCAGTAGCACAAACAAACAAACGGAAGACACCGATGATCGAGATACAGAGGAATAGGCGAATAAGCTTGCTTAGCTTGGTCCTTTCCATCATTGCATTGGATCCATATCCAATCCATCGAAATCGAGCTAGACCATATATATCATCTGCCTGCTGCATCCTTTTCAGCTGTGATCGATCGGAGGAGTGAGGCTGATACCTAGACAGGCAGGAGCGCTAGCTAGGGGGCTCGTCTAGGTCTAGTTACTGAAACTGAAGGAGGAGTGGCTAGCTGTGGATGCAAGTCTGTATGCGTAGCTACATGCAGAGAACTAACGAACTGCAGAAACACGGCCGGCCTTGCTGACCTAAATAAATATATATAGATATAAATGGTCCATGCATGCACACATCCATCCATCCAATAATCCAATCCAAGTCCCATTAGTCCCCCATCTTTAGCTGGCTTGTCTCTGTTGTGTTCACCACACATGACACATGATTAAAAGGAAGGGAAGGGACAATGCGATGAGAGAGGAGAGGCGAGTGGAGGGGCCCTCTCCACCTCCCGACCTATAAACCCTCCTCCGATCCGTCCCTTTTCGCCATCTGCGTCAATCATCCCTGTCTCTTTCCTTCTCCGCATTATTACCTCTAGGTATATGCATGATCCTGTTGCTTCCCTTGAAAATTCAGATCATCAGTATGTGTGTTCAGCTAGCAATTAATAGCATATGCATATGTTCGTCTCGATCCACTTCCGCCTTGTTCGCTCGATCCTCCTCCGTTCGCTGCCTTGATCGCGACTGTAATCCCCGTCGGCAGAGCTCCGCGATCTGCCTCGGCGTCGATTGCGCGAGTTCATAGGTCCGAGCCGAGGTCTGTCGGGTCGGCAGTTGAATCCGGATCGAAGAATTGGCTCACGAACATCGCACCCGCCTGCAAGTTATGATGAAGGTTGAAGATCAGTTGGCGTTCATTCTCTCCAAGTTGGACGAGCAATCGAAGGGAATTTCCGAGACCAATCGTTGCCTTCACGACGTCCACGACTCGGTGGCGGAGCTCACTGCCGCCAAGAACGACTTCGACCGCTGGTGACCCAAAGTCGATGGTCAGGTAGCTGATCTGCGCGATTGCGTCGACGATCTTCGCCAGCAACTCAACGATCTCAAGTCTACTTCTCCTACGCCTCATTTCGTTCCATCGGGATCGGCTTCACTCAAGGTGCCGGGGTCCGCTCAAATGGACCCGTCCTCTCCGAAGGCGGCATCTGGGCCAAGTGGCCACGGCGATGAAACCCACCACCGGAGCCATGGTTCGGGGGTCGTCTATACCCTCGAACCACCTCCGGTCAACGGTACGAAGCTTGGATCCCTTACTGCTCCTACTCATACTCCTACGGGCTTTGAATTCTGTCATCATGCTTCCTGTGGTACTTGTTCCCATATGAGTACAGCTATGCCTCAATTAGATTTTCCCAAGTTTGATGGTACTAGTCCCAAATTATGGATCAAACGTTGTGACACTTACTTTGATCTATATGGTATTCCTGTTGAGAATTGGGTTAAGCTTGCTACTATCAATTTCTCTGGTCCTGCCGCATTCTGGATGCAGACCATTGAAATAAACCTGAAACAATGCACTTGGGATCAGATCTGTAAACTGGTAGTTGAGCGTTTTGACAGATATCAGTTCAATCACTTCATCCGTCAATTTTTCCATACCAAGCAAACTGGCACTGTCTTAGAATACATAACCCTTTTTTATGACCTTATGCATCAGCTCCTTGCTCATGATCCTTTAGTGAACCCTGCTATTCTGACTAGCAAGTTTATTGATGACCTTAAACCTGAAATTCGAGCTGTTGTCTTTTTACACCGCCCCAAAGATTTAGATACTGTGAGTTCCCTTGCCATTTTGCAGGAAGAGGTGTTATCTGGACCAGCTGTTGGTGATTTTAAACGGCTGAGCAATTATTCTTCTCAAAAGAATACTACCAAGTTTGCTACTGTTACTGGGGGACATGCTGTTCCACCGGGCAAGACTGGGCCACCAGACCCTACTAAGGAGCACAACACTAAACCTGATGAGAAGCTTTCAGCATTGATGACTTATCGCAAGGCTCGGGGTTTATGTTTCAAGTGTGGGGGAAAATGGGGTCCTCAGCACAAATGCCCCGCAACAGTACCCCTTAATATGATTGAAGAGGTCTGGAATCTGATTGCAGAAGCTGAAGACAGTTCACACTCTGCTCCTTCTAACTCTGATGATGACGAGTTAATGGCACTTTCTCCTCAGGCAGCTCAAGGTACTCATGCAGCTAATACTTTGAAATTGCACGCTTACATTCAACAAAAGCAGTCCATTATTTTGGTGGACTCTGGTAGCTCTCATAATTTTATTAGTGAGCGCCTTGCATCTCAGTTGCAACCTTGGACTCCTATGCCTCATCTAATGACTGTGAAAGTTGCTGATGGATCTATATTAGTTGCACTCATGAAATTATCAACTGTTACTGGTCTGCTCAGGGTGTTCTATTCACCACCACTTTTAAGATTCTACCTCTCCAATGTTATGATGCCATATTGGGTATGGAATAGTTGGAAACCTTTAGTCCAATGCAAATTGAGTGGAAACACAAATGGTTGAAGTTTGATTATGAGGGCATAACCATTCGGCTTCAGGGCATTCAGGAGGATTTTTTCAAGATTCCTGAGGTTACTGTCAATCAGTTATCTGCTATGGAAAAGGATGAAGCCATTTGGGGTGCAGTCGCAGTGTACTCTGTGGATAGTTCATCAACTGTAGTTGATACCCCACTTCCTGCTGAGATTTTGGAACTGGTAGATCAATTTCATGATCTTTTGGTGAACCTTCTGGTGTACCTCCTTCAAGGTCTCTCACTCATTCTATTCCATTGGTTCCTGGTACTCAACCATTTCGTCTGAGGCCTTATAGATATACTCCTGCTCAAAAGGATGAAATCGAGAAGCAGATTGTTCAACTGCTCAAGTCCAATATGATTCAGGAAAGCTCTAGCCCTTTTGCATCTCCTGCCCTGTTGGTCAAAAAGAAGTCAGGGGAGTGAAGGTTACGCGTTGATTACAGAAGACTAAATGCTTACACTGTGAAGAATAAATTTCCATTGCCCATTGTTGAGGAACTCTTTGAAGAATTGCATGGGGCTAAGTGGTTCACAACTCTTGATTTAAGATCAGGATTCCACCAAATTTTGGTTACACCTGCTGATCAATATAAGACTGCATTTCAGACACACCACGGCCACTATGAATATAAGGTAATGCCTTATGGCCTCCCTGGGGGTCCTGCAACTTTTCAATCGGTCATGAACACTATATTGGCTTCTCTTCTTTGAAAATGTGTTGTAGTATTTATCGATGACATTGATATACAGTCAGTCTTATGAAGAGCATATTGAACATGTCAAATTGGTTTTCCAATTGCTGCAAGAGCATCAGTTCAAGGTCAAACTGTCAAAATGTTCATTTGCTCAACAACAACTCACTTATCTTGGACATGTTATTGGTGTTCATGGAGTGTCAACAGACCCCTCTAAAATTGTTAATGTGCAGCAGTGGCCTACTCTAGAAAATGTTAAGGAACTGCGTAGTTTTCTCAGTCTAGCTGGGTATTACAGAAGATTTGTTAAAAATTTGTCATGATTGCAAAGCCCTTAACTGATCTTCTCAAGAAAGGAGCCATGTTCTTATGGACTGAGGTTGCTGACTCAGCTTTCCAATTGCTTAAACAGTCATTGATCACTGCTCCTGTCTTAGCCTTGCCAAATTTTTCTAAGCCATTTGAGGTAGAAACTGATGCATCTGACAAAGGAATTGGGGCTGTACTTCAGCAGGAAGGTCATCCCATTGCATTTGTCAGCAAAGCCTTAGGGCCAAGAACTCAAGGGTTATCTACTTATGAGAAGAAAAGCTTAGCTATTTTGCTGGCTATTGATCAGTGGAAATCATATCTGCAACCTGCTGAATTTATCATTAAAACTGATCATCGCAGTTTGACTTATCTTACTGAGCAGACGCCTAACACTTATTGGCAGCAAAAAGCTATGACTAAGTTGATGGGTTATCAGTTCAAGATTAGCTACAAGAAGGGCAGTACTAATTGTGCAGCTGATGCTTTGTCGAGAAATCCTCAACCTCAGGCTAGTCTGGCTGCTGTTTCAGTTGCTCAACCAGATTGGCTGCATTCTGTTCAGCAGAGTTACCTTAACAATCCTGCTGCTCAGAAGATATTAGTTGCACTTGCTCTGCAGGGTACCTTTGGTCATTTTACCCTCAATGATGGAATCATCAGATTCAAGGCTAAAATTTGGCTTGGTCATTCAGAGGCATTGCAAGCTCAAGTCATAGAGCAGTTGCATGCTAGTCCCATGGGGGGCCATTCAGGTTCTCTGGTCACTTATCACAGACTGCATAAGCTTTTTCACTGGCCAAAGATGCTTCAATCTGTCAAAGCCTTTGTTCAAGCTTGTCAAATCTGCCAGCAAGTGAAATCTGAAAGGCTGCCCTACCCTGGTTTGCTCAAACCCTTGACCAGTTCCTGCTCAGGCTTGGCATACTGTTACAATGGATTTTATAGAAGGCCTACCAACTTCAGCTAAGTATAATTGTATTTTGGTAGTGGTAGACAAGTTTTCTAAGTATTCTCATTTCATCAAGATGAAGCATCCCTTTTCTGCACTACAAGTTGCCCAACAGTATATGGAGCATGTGTACAAGTTACATGGTATGCCACAGGCCATAGTTTCTGATCGAGATAGAATCTTTACAAGTACACTATGGAGAGAGTTGTTTCGGCTCTCTGGTACTCAGTTACAGATGAGTTTAGCCTATCACCCTCAGAGTGATGGCCAGACCGAGAGAGTTAATCAGTGTATTGAGAATTACTTGAGATGCTTTATTCATGCTTGTCCTTCTCACTGGTCTCAATGGCTTCATTTAGCAGAGTTTTGGTACAATACTTGTCATCATTCATCTCTGCAGCATACTCCATTTGAAGTACTGTATGGTCATCACCCACGCCATTTTGGTATTGACCCTGATCAAGATTGCCAAGTTCCAGAACTGGATAATTGGTTGGAGCAGCGCCAAACTATTACTGCCTTATTGCAAGAGCAACTACTGAGAGCTCAGCAGAGGATGAAAGCACAAGCTGACAAGCATAGGACTGAAAGATCTTTTGCAGTGGGTGATAAGGTTTGGTTGAAATTTCAACCGTATGCACAAGGCTCTGTTGCTTCCAGAGTCAGTCCTAAATTGGCTTACAGATATTTTGGGCCTTATGAGGTAGAATCCAAGATCAATGAGGTGGCTTTCAAGATCAAGCTTCCTCCAACTTCTTCTATACACCCAGTTTTTCATGTGTCATTGCTCAAACCTGTCAAAGGTACTGCTCCGACTGCCTTCGGACATCCCTTCTATGCAGTCTCCAGAAATGGTATTGGATCGTCGTGCCTGCTCCAAGAACAATCGCCTTTACCATCAACTGCTTGTCAAGTGGTGTGATCAACCTCCAGAATTATCCACCTGGGAAGATGACGATGAGCTGTTACGCCGTTTTCCAGAGTTCACGGCTTGGGGACAAGCCGTTGCCTATGGAGGGGGGATGTCACGGTAAGGCCTGTTAGCAGCTCCGCTAAGGTTGGCCCTAGAAGCAAGCGAGTCAAGAAGCCCAATCCGCGCGTCACCGGCCCGGATTGGAAGAAGTAGCCCAAGCCCAGCTGCGTCTGGAGTACTGCTGTGAAACAGCTGCAACAGAACGTTTAAGAGAGGGTGAGGAGGAAAACTCGAACCCGTCTTGGTTGGCGTCGGCAAACAGGCGGCGAGCTGCGGCTTGAGAATACGCCGACGACCTCCAATTCCACCATTTCTGTATCAGACCCAAGTACTCGTTGTTCTAATGCACTCCTAAATCCACCATATCCATTAGTAGTGTTACAAAAAAAAACATGCATGCTAATGCTTTGTGTAGACCTGCATAGTAGTAGCTACTACTTTATTATGGCACATTAGGTAATGGAACGAAGGAACATTCTTAATTCTATTGTAGTGGCCGAGCAATGCAAGTAATCCATAACCACGTGTCATAATTCGACTAGAGTGCCTGCTTTAAAGTAAAGCTAGCTTTACATCTCTATCATCACCTTGGGCATTAAGACACGTACGTGCGCTTAATCCAACCGCTGCCCTCATGACGTGTGCTATAATGTGCTGCTTGCTGTCGAATGGTCGCTTGGCTACGTACTATTTCAGCCAACGAATAGTATTTTTCTCTCATAACAAATCAACCAACAGATCTTTCAACTATGGCTTATTAGCCAAGCGAACAGGGCATAGAATCCATTAGCCCCGCCCTAGTTTTAATGCGCAGCATGCACTTTATTTTTTTACCTAATTTTTTTCTCAATCACGTAAAATGTCCGCGCGTCTTTTATTAAGGTAGAGAATTTTTTCGATAAACACGCCTTAACAGCGCCCTAGAGGATCAATAAAGTTTTTTTCTTAGTTAAAATCTAAACACCATCAAGACAAAACAAAATGCTACTAGAAACTAGCACATATACTAGAAAAAGATCGTGGCGTTGCCGCGTATGGCCAGTGGACGTGCCGGTTGTATTATAGATGGTCCTTTTGTTTGTGTACAAATAATGTGAAAACATTAATTTTCTTACTTGGATCAATGATCTAATATAAATATGGGACTATTATATACTCTAGGCTTAGTGAGTGCAGGGGCATGATAAAACTATCCATATTAATTAAGTAAAGGAAGGTGGAATAGGGTGTTCTTCTACTGCCATCCTAGGGTTAGAATTTTTTTGTCTTAAATGGACTTAGGCAGAGTGGAACAATAGTTATATTGGTCTTGTCCTCTCTCCATGCCTGACCAAACCAGATAAAGTTAATAATTATTGAAAAATAAAAAATAATGATTCCATGCTTGAAAAAATATTGTACCTTATTTTAAAGAAATTATTGATAGAGGTAGCCTGAAAGACCTGTGAACTATAGCCTTCGGTGCAAGGAGTAAAAGAGTCATTTCACGTATAGTTTAACACTGTTAGCCCATCAAAGTAGCGAAGGGCCAAGAAACCAAAGAAAATTCATTTTAGGGCTAATAAGCAAGTTCGAAAAAAGGGCCAAAAAACTAAGCAGTACTTTTTTAGACCAAGGAAATAATTTCCTCAAGTTTTATTAGCATATTAATACAATGAGCACATTTAACTCTTCACAATTATATGAATATGAATATTGAAAAATACATTTGACGGATATATTTATTGCATAGTAAATTTACATGTGACGAAGCTATACTTTAGAACCCAATTGAGGAGCATAAGTTAGCATTTACCTTCAAATTGTGCTACATGCTTATTTAAGCTTTTCTCTCCCAGTTTCCTCCCTTCATTTTCGTTTCTTAATCACTTCCGGCTGGGCCATGTAAACGTGACTAAAACCTTTGAATTATCTGATGCTTGGTAAAAATGACATAGGCCCCGTTTGGTTTTGCTAAAATTTAGCTGAATTGGCTAAAAAATACTGTTCTGACAGTTGAATTGGTGTGAGAGAAAAATACTGTTCCGACTGATGCTATTTCGTTGTAAGAGAAAAATACTATATCATGACTGATAAGCATGACTGATACGATCAAACGAACATGGTGCATCACTACTAATTGATAAATATATATTGGGGCTTTCTTGGAAGTGAGGTCCCTAGCTAGTAGCTTTAGCATCAACATCTTAAAAAGACAAAGGGGTCGGATCAATAAATAAACAAGTTGATCGAGGACGGACAACATAGACCCATATGCATGCGTGTACATTAGGTAGCTAGATAGGCCTAACACCAAGTAAGCCCTTGTTTAGTTGGGTGAATTTGGATTTTGGGCTACTGTAGTACATTCGTTTTTATTTGACAAATAGTGTTCAAATATGGACTAATTAGGCTCAAAACGTTCGTCTCGCAATTTCCCATCAAACTGTGCAATTAGTTTTTATTTTCGTCTACATTTAATGTTTCATGCACGGGCCGCAAACATTCGATGTGACAGGTACTGTAGCAACTTTTTAGACTTTAGGGTCCAACTAAACGAGGCGTAAAGCATCATGACTGGCCCAAGTTTTTCCAAGCTAAAGAAATTGGTTTCCGTGCTTTGCTGTAGCTTCCCTGAGAAATTTCAAATTTGGTTCCAACACACACCAAACCGAGTGGCCCTACAGGAACAAAAGGGCCCAAACACCCACTGCTTGGATGGAGGAAGAAAGAGTAGAGAAGAGGGCATAAATGGTGCAGCTAGCCCAATAATACGATTAATCAATGCCCAAAGTACATAAGGAATAAAGTTGCATTGAGAGCTTGCAGTATATAAGCTACATACATGCATTCACTCTTCTGCAAATAAGAGTGCGGTTTTTAACATAAAAAAAACGTGATCATGGTCAGGAAAAGAAACACATGATAATTATACGGTATCTTTCTTGGAACAAACAAACAGTGACGCACTATCGTTGTCTAGTGCTACCTCTGTCTGGAAAGAAGAATGCAAGTCTACTTTTGTATTTAGTTAAGCTATCTAAAGTTTGTATGGATTTATAAAAAATTATCAATATTTATGACACTAAATAAATATTGTATATATTATTAAAATAGAGTCAAGAAAAATTTAATGATACTAATTTGTATAATAAATATTGATACTACATCTCTGAGAATCCTTGTCCCTGGACATCTTTTCAATTACAAGTATATGCTAAATAAAGATTGGGCCTGTTCGCTGGTTGGTGCTGGTGCTGATTTGGGCTGGCTGGTGCTGGGTTTTTTTAGAGGAAAACACTGTTGGCTGGCTGATTTGGGCTGGCTAAAACCAATAAGCGAATAGGCCGCTTGTGTGCTACTGCGTAGTAGAAGTAACTAGCAACGAACATCGTCACTTTGTCAGCCTGTCGGCATCGGTGGTAAAGGCTTGTGCGTGTTTGGGAATAAAGGGATAAACTGATATGGAATTCCTCCTTTCACAAGCACACACAGACACAGGGATAGTAGATATACTACTAGCTAGATAGAGAAGGATGCCCATGCATGCATGCAATTTGCATTGGTTGTGGATAGGTTATTATATTCGTGTGTCATATGGAAACAATTAACATCTACTATATCTCTTTATCATATAAGTATATGTCACTGCCCTCTAGCTCCCTCTCGCAATTAAATGCCTTGCAAGGGACTCAATCATCACGCGCGCGCACCACCCGCCCGATTGGCGCGAAAGAAACTAAATTAAAGAAAGCAAGCTACCGGCACCGGCAATGGTAGGTTATTCTAAAAATATTGGAGAATCAAAGTATTGTCATTCTACAAATATTAAAAAATTATAGTATTTTAAGTTTGACGAAATTTATATGAGAAGATAATAACATTTATGATGTCAAATAAGTATCATTAAATTTTTCATCAATTATATTTTCATAGTATACCTATTCGATATCAAAAATCTTTATAATTTTCTCTACAATTTTGATCAAACTTGGGATGTTTTGACTCTACAAGATTCTTAGAATGACTTATAATTTAGAATGGATGAAGTAGTTACTGATTCTAAACCAACTTCTCTAAAAGTGTTAACTTTTAGCACATAGCTTTTATCATGGATATTCCCACATGACACTCTCATGTAACCTTTGAGTATGTGCAGTTGTTTAGCTCTTAATTAAGAGCTAGGATTTCTCTCTTTTTCATCAAAATATGAGAAAAATACTTAGAGCTGGCTTATTGTTGGAGCTGCCTTGTGTACTGCTCCGATCCAGCAACCGACCAATACAATGCGAGCAACCATGGCGGCCGCACTAGTGCTCAGGGCAAAGCACGCAGCATGCAGCATCTGGGAGCTTGGGACTGGGCCGGAGGCTAGCTAGGGTTCTTCTTCCTCGGCCTCCATTGGAGGAGGGATCGGAAGGATCTCTAGCTCATCTCTCCGCCGCCGTACATGTCCTGTCCTGTCGTGAGTCGTGACGTGCTCCACGATGCGCGGCGCGGTTCGCATTTGCCGGGACGATAGGGACGCGACGCAGGAGACGGTGGCCACTTGGTTGGATAACGAACGAACTAGCAGATAAGTACGCATGGCAGCTCCGTCTGCCCGTCGTCGTCGTCGTCAAGGCCACATGACGGGGCACAGGGCGCGGCGGCGCAGCGGGATCGGTGGATCCGACCATGCCGGTGCAGTGGCTCACCACGCGTCGCGAGGGGAGTGGGTGGCGTGCTGGCGCGGGGACGCCGGGGAGCCCGCGTGGAGGCATCCGCAGCCTCCCAGGGAGTCGCTGTCCTGGATCGTCTGCGACGACCTCAGCTGAGGCGTGAGAACAAGAGAGAAACGGGTGGGCTGGTGATGAGCTAATCATGAAGCAGCAGGATCGACCATCAGCTCCCTATTTAATTATTTTTATTTATTGATTGACATACTGTATATATGGAACATAAAAGAGAGGCTTTCTGCAAAGGTGGCA